ATGTCTGTCTTTATGCCAGTACCACACTGTTTTGATTACTGTAGCTTTGTTGTAAGTTTTGAAATCAGGAAGCATGAGACTTCCAACTTTGTGCTTCTTTTTCAAGATTGTTTTGGCTATTTGGGGTTCTTTGAGATTTCATATGAATTTTGGGAGGGCTTTTTCTATTTCTGCAAAAAATTTTCTTGGGATTTTGATAGAGGTTGCATTGAATCTGTAGATGCTCTGAGTATCTTAACAATATTAAGTCTCACAATCCATGAACATGGGACATCTTTCCATTTATCAGTGTCTTTAATTTCTTCCAGCAACGTTTTGTAGTTTTCATGAAACAAGTCTTTTTCCTCCTTGGTTAAGTTTATTCCTAAGTATTTTATCCTTTCTGATGCTATTGTAAATGGAATTGTTTTCTTAATTTCCTTTTTGGATTGTTCATTGTTAGTGTGTAGAAACAACTGAATTTTATTTGTTGATTTTGTATCCTGCAACTTGGATGAATTGGTTTATTAGTTTTAATTGGGCTGTTTTTTATTTTTTATTTTTATTTTTTTTGGTGAGGAACATTAGCCCTGAGCTAACATCTGTTGCCAATCCTCCTCTTTTTGCTGAGGAAGATTAGCCCTGGGCTAACATCTGTGCCCATCTTCCTCTACTTTACATGTGGGACGCCACCACAGCATGGCTTGACAAGTGGTGTGTAGGTCTGCGCCCGGGATCCAAACCCGCGAACCCCTGGGCTGCCGAAGTGGAGTGCCCAAACTCAACCACTATGGCCACCAGGCCGGGCACTGGGCTGATTTTTAATTATATTTATTTATTTTTCCCCCAAAGCCCCAGTAGATAGTTGTATGTCATAGCTGCACATCCTTCTAGTTGCTGTATGTGGGACGCGGCCTCAGCATGGCCGGGGAGAAGCGGTGCGTCAGTGCGCGCCCGGGATCCGAACCCGGGCCGCCAGCAGCGGAGCGCGCGTTCTTAACCGCTGAGCCACGGGGCCGGCCCTGGACTGCTTTTTAAATGATCGAGTTAGTTGCTAACATTTAAATCTTAGTTAAGTTCACATAGAAATCCGAACTTCCTTTTTGTCATAAAATGTTGGAAGATGTGGCCCTTCTGGGCTGACATTCCCGTGTGGCACCCACTGCCTGGCGCCTAGTAGCAGCCTCCACCTTTGGTGGAAGTGAGCATCCTTCAGTGTGCCGCAGCCTCCACCTCCCCTCCTGCCCGGCGCCCTGCCAGACAGCCTCACTCACAGGCTCTGCTTTACCTGGCCCTCGTGCGTTCTGCCTTCTCCCCACGTGTGCTTACTGAGCACTTTGTATGCGCCAGGCACTGGGAGCACAGCGCCTGCACAGCAGACAAATGTCTCTGCCTTCACGGACTTTTGTTCTAATAGTAGAACTTATCGTGTGCTGACCCCTGTCCTAAGCACTTTATGTATATTATCTCATTTCATCTCATTTAATCCTCAAGACATCCTCGATGAGGAAGGCTCATTATACAGACGAGGAAACCGAGAGGCATGGCGAAGTTGAGACCTGTCCGAGGTTACCCGAGGTCGGTGCTAGAAACCTGGGCAGTCTGGCCTGAGAATTATGTTCTCAGCTGCCCCTCAGTGCCAGAAGGACTCGAATGTGAAAACTTTGCAGTGGAGGCAGGGCGGGCTGGACGGGGCTAGACAGGCCTGGTCAGAGATCACGTAGCCAGGAGTCAGGTCTCCCAGGAGGGGGAGTCTGTTGGGGACAGGGTGGGGTGCTCCCGGGGCTGCCACTCTGGCCTCTGGCTGTTTACTCGAGGCCTTAGGGATCCAGGCCCTCTCACCTTCCCAGCTCTGCAGCGCCTTGGCCCGGCCGCCGGGAGAGCCCTGTTTTGCTCAGGAGACAGCCGGCGGTGGTGCCCCAGGCTTGGCGGGAGGTAGGAGGTAATCAGCAGCTTGTCTGCGTTGTTGGGAGCAGACAGCTGAGAAAACAGACCTGCACAGGGCACCCCCGCCCTCTGCTGAGCCCACTTCTGCCGAGAGACGTAAATGTGGGCTTGTGTCAGGTCGGCAGACAGGCCCCAGCTCCGTGGTCCCCCGAGGCCCCTCTGCACCAGGCCTGTGACTCAGTTTCGCCAGCTGATGAGGAGCCTGGGCATGAGGAGGGATGTTGCACAAACCCAGCCTGGTCCCTTCCTCAGCCCTGGGGCTGGCGTCATGCTTCTTGGGGACCATCACAGCAGCCTGTCAGGAGCCTGCGTTCTCCTTGGCCTGGCTCTTTGCTCTCGGGAGTGTGCGCTGACCCTTTGCTGTTACTTCAAGTGTTTATTGAGCATCTGCTGTGTGCTGGTCACAGGCTGGGATGGGGGCTCCTGATGAACGATGGAGAAGGTCCCTCCCCTCTTTGCATACAGATGCAAGCATTGCTGACTCAGAGCTGTGGGGGCGCATGAAGAAGGTGTCTTGGGGGCTTCCTCCCACAGAAGGTCCTGCTCTCCGGCCAGGTTCACCCTCAGCTCCCTGCTCTCTGCTTTCACTGCTCTGAGCCCGTCTCCCTTCCGTGCTTCTCCGAGTGCCTCCTTCTGTCTGTCTTCTTGCCCACAGTTTTCCCTGATGCTGGGAGACTCGCCTGCTCTCCCTTCAAGTCCAGGAGAAAACTGGCATCTTCCCCCTAGGCCTTCCTGAAGCAGACTCCCTGATGGAGGTCAAGGCCTCCCTGCCTGGGCAGCGTGCGTTCTTATTTCCCAGCCCCAGATGGAGCTAGCCTGCTGGGCACAGTCACCACGCACCGTGGAGTGGTTTGTGCCTGACTGGCCGCCCTACAGTGTGGGTGGGCTGTCCCCTGCTGCCTGAGACAAGCCAGGAGATGGCTGAGTGACTGACATCTCTGACAAAAGGGGTCTGTTACAGCCTCTTCCTCAACTCCCCTCCTTGCCCCATTTTGCAGCCGCCTCCTTCTGGGGCGCCCCTCGGAGATTCCAGACAGAGCCCGGGAGCAGCCAGAGTTCCGATTGTGATGCAAGAAGGGAACAGGAGCCTGGGCTGCAGGCAGGTGGCAGGCAGGCATCCTGGCCCCCAAGTAAACACTGGAAAACCCCACTTTCACGGCATCAGGGTCTGAGTGGCAGTGGCGTTGGGGACAAGCAAAGTCAGAGCACACCCAGCCCGGTGAAGAGGAAGCAGCCTATCTGGGGGCACCGGCTCAGTGCAAGTGGATCTTCCTAGGGTGATTTCTGAGGGAGGGAAGGAGGTAGACCCGTCTATTTCAGGCTAGGGGCAGTGCAAGAGGAATACATAGTCTTTGAGACTTAAAAATTACTGAAGAGCATCAAGAATTTGTCAAGTATAATTCTACAGTCCAGAGACCTCTACTTTTTTGTATTGTATTCACAATTTTGTTTTCAGATTTCTCTTGGGCTTTATATGTTGAGGAGCCTTTCCCCACCTCATTTAAAACTCCGATAATCATAACTGTAACGACAACATAACAGTCTGTGTGCAGATACCATGATTTACCTAACCGTTCTCCTCATGTTGGGTAGTCAGGTTATTCTAATTTCCTGACTAAGGCGTGAAAGGCTGCCTCGTGGAAACCGCCCCTCACTCCCTCTAGGGCCGGGGGAACTGGGCACCCCACGCACTAGACTCTGAGCAGAAGGGGGTATTGGCATGGGCAGACAAGTGGCACCAGCTTTGCCACCCTGCGTGGTCTGTGGCCCACCTCCTCCCCCGACCCACTCAGAGAAGCAGAGGCTGGACTATTGTGGTTCAGCCACCTTCTCCAACCCCCGGAGACAGGGAGCTCTGAGCCTGCGCTGCCCACAGGCTGATGATGACATCTCACCCATATAAAGTGGGGAGATTTTACACACACACCCTGAAAATCCTAATGTCTGGCCTCTCTTGAAAGGCCGAAGTTTGGCGACATTGGGCCTGAGTCCCCTTGGCTGTGCCCGCAGGGAGTGCATGGTGGCTGCCTCCTGCAGGGGGATCTTGGGTTCCAGTCCTGCACTGCCCCTCACCTGTCTCACCTGGCTGGCCCCTGTCAGCAGTGGCCTTTGTCACCTGTTGTTTAGTGATAAGAACCCAATGCCTTGTGGCCCGCTTGTGTAAACCATGCCACCTAATCCTCCACAGAGGGAGTCTGACTCACTGCGCCTTTTCCAAGGTGCACTGTGGTCATCACGGAATGGCCTGCAAGAAAACCCTGAACATGCTCTGATGAATGCTGGTGCATTCTGGGTTATTTCCAGAGGAGAGGTTCCTGGAGGCAGGCTGATGCGGCAGCAGGGTCTCGGTCCTGCAGGGAGGGTGGCCACTGGAGGACAGCTCCAGGTGAAGGTCGCCATCCTGGGATCTCTCTCTCTGGGCTGGTTTCCTCACCCCGGGCTCCGGCTGAGCCAGGTCCTTGCCTCCCGATGGGGTGCGCACACCTTCTCTTTCTAACACCTTCCACGGGCCACAGTTCTACAGGGCACCCTGGGCGCTGGGGTGGACGCAGGTCCCAGATGTGCCCTGGTCTTTGGCAGACCTGTCTCCACAGGCAGACTCAACAGGAACCACTCAAAGTGGAAAATTCTAGGGGCTGGGCAAGGACGGATCCAGGTTTTGGAAAGCCTGGAGTTTTTACAGTTTGGGGGCCCTTTTAAGAAAAAAGAATATAAAATTACAAATAGAAAAGTAGGTACAAGCCTTGTCAGGGGCCTGTGAGAGGCAGGCGTCCTGAGGGTCAGCCTCCTGAGTCTCCTGGTGAGCTGTCCCTGGCGTGGGCCCAGGGTGGCACAGGGGTCCCCTCTGTGCACTTGCTCCCAGACTTCCCTAAGAGCCCGGGCTCACTGGGTCCTGTGGTGGGAGAGGGCGCTGAAGGCTGCCAGGACCGGGCCAAGTATCTCTCACCTGGAGTCCCAGGTGTGGCCTGATGCTCCGACACAGGGAGGGCTGGGGCCGTGGGGTCGGGCGAGAGGCTGGGTGTGGCTGGAGGTGAAGAACATGGCTCACCGTGACCCTGGCTTTGTGCCGGCAGGTGGAGAACCTGAAGGAGAAGCTCATTAGCCAGGCCCAGGAAGTGAGCCGCCTGCGGTCAGAGCTGGTGAGGCTCCACAGTGGCGTCCTATGGGAGGCGGGGGGCAGACCGGGCTCTGCACGGACTGGCTGCCCCGGATGAGGGATGTGACCCCGTCTCTCCCGAACCTCATGCATCCCAGCCAAGCAGACCCCTGTCCTGCTTGGAAACACTCCCAGAGAACACTTAGCATCACTCACTGGGCCCTCAGAGGTCGTGTGACCCCCCCAAGGGGAGGGGGGCTAATTCTCCTTTGCTGACATAAAATGGGAGTGTGAACTCTGTGTATAAATACGACTTTTCTTGTTACTTTCACACTCTGGAAAATAGAATGGAAGGGGTGGGGCGCGGCGGGGAGCACTTCCTGCCTCACCACCCGGCTTGCCCTTTCTCTCCTCCATCTTCGTCTTTATTTCTCTCTCGAGCTCCTCCTTTCTTCTCTGCCTCTTCCCTCTCTCCCTCTCGTCTCCCTCTCTCCGTCTTTCTCCCCCGCTCTCCTCCTCTCTCCGTGCCCTCGCCCTCTGTCTGCCTCCCCGCTCCTGTCTTCCCCCTGACCTGCCCTCGCCCCATGCCCGCCCTCGGCCCTGGCTCTCTGCAGGGAGGCACCGACCTGGAGAAGCACCGGGACCTGCTGATGGTGGAGAACGAGCGACTGAGGCAGGAGATGCGGCGCTGCGAGGCCGAGCTGCAGGAGCTGCGGGCGAAGCCGGCGGCCCCCTGCACGGGCTGCGAGCACAGCCAGGTGAGCACCGGACCAGGTGGGCCTGGAGGGCTCCGTGCCTAACGGTGACCCCGGTTCCTGACAGTGACCCCTGCCTGCCTGTCTGCCTGCAGGAGAGCGCCCAGCTCCGCGACAAGCTGTCCCAGCTCCAGCTGGAGGTGGCGGAGAACAAAGGCATGCTGTCGGAGCTGAACCTGGAGGTGCAGCAGAAGACCGACCGGCTGGCCGAGGTGGAGCTGCGGCTCAAGGACTGCCTGGCTGAGAAGGCGCAGGAGGAGGAGCGGCTGAGCCGGCGCCTGCGTGACAGCCACGAGACTATCGCCAGCCTGCGGGCCCAGTCGCCGCCCGTCAAGGTGAGCCTCGGGCCTGGCAGCTGCGGGCAGTGCCCTATGCGCGCCTGGACTGCGCCTCTGCTTGGCCCCTGGCGCCCAGGGCGGGGCCGGACGTCGGAGGGGCTTGTCCTGGTGAATAGGAGGTATGTGTGGTGGAAGGATCATTGCAGGTCTGCAGTCAGTCCTGCCCCTTCCCCTTCTCGCCGTCCAGGGCCAGGCACGTAGTGGGCATCCAGCAACCAACACTCAAGGTGCCCGCCGCGTGACCGGCATGGACGCGGTGCCTTGCTAGATTCTGCCCACGTCTTTGCCCTTCCTGTCTGTTCTGTGCCCTGTCGCGGGCCACAGCCAGGCTCGTAGTGGACTCATTAAGATGGGAAGATTCCAGGAGGCCCTTGCAGCATTCTGGAAAGCCGGGACCCCGAGGCTCCTCCAGCTCTTTCCAGGGGCTCTGAGTGGGATGTTCCTGAGGGTTCTGGCGTGAGGTCCAGGCACCCACGCACCTCCGTGCATCTGTCCCTCCCTCACCTCGCAGTATGTCATCAAGACGGTGGAGGTGGAGTCGTCCAAGACCACGCAGGCCCTCAGCGAGTCCCAGGCCCACAACCAGCACCTGCAGGAGCAGGTGGCCATGCAGAGGCAGGTGCTGAAGGAGATGGAGCAGCAGCTGCAGAGCGCGCACCAGCTGACTGCACAGCTCCGGGCGCAGGTGCGCAGGCCGCGGGAGGCTGAGCGGGTCTGTCGGGGGAGCACGTGCTCGCTGCGCTGGAAAGCTGGGGGTGGGCCTTTGGTCCATTGCCGGGGTCAAGTACTCGGGGGTCACACACCTGGGTTCCAGTCCCTCTACCCTCCATTGGCCGTGTGACCCAGGGACAAGTTTTGTCTGAGTCTGTTTCCTCCTCTGTAAAATGATCTGATCACAGAACCCGCCTCCCAGCCAGGCTTAGGGACACAGTCACGGGAGGCTCTGTGCGCGAGGCCCAGCACCCCGCTCTTGGAAAGGAGCTCTAGTCGGTATCATAACAAATGCCCTCCGACTCCGCTCTCCTGGGGCCTGTGGCTCGTGCTTCTGTTATGTACCAGGCCCTGGGTTGGTGCTGGGCTAATGCAGGGGAGGAGTAGCTCCGTGGAGCCCAGAGACCTTTCCAGGAGAGAGCCGGCCATCCTCCCCTCTCCTGTGTGCGTGTGTGTGTGTGTGTGTGTGTGTGTGTGTGTGTGTGGTGTGTTCGCTTGCGTGCACAGGGGTGAGGGGCGGGGCTCCTTGGCCACCCCGACCCCGGCACTGAGCTCCCGGCCCTGGCTGCCAGATCGCCATGTACGAGGCGGAGCTGGAGCGGGCCCACGGGCAGATGCTGGAGGAGATGCAGTCCCTGGAGGAGGACAAGAACCGGGCCATCGAGGAGGCCTTCGCCAGAGCCCAGGTGGAGATGAAGGCCGTGCACGAGAACCTGGCAGGTGAGCCGGCCCGCTGGGCCCAGCCCGCCCCAGGCTGCAGCCCCCCCACCCCCGTCCCCCTCACGCCCCTTGTGTCCACATAGGCGTCCGGACCAACCTGCTGACACTGCAGCCGGCGCTGCGGACCCTCACCAACGACTACAACGGGCTCAAGCGGCAGGTGCGCGGCTTCCCCCTGCTGCTGCAGGAGGCCCTCAAGAGCGTCAAGGCCGAGGTGAGCGCGGGCCGTCGAGGGTGGGGCTGGGGGAGGCCTGGGGCCCCCGGTCAGCACACATCTGCCCAGGGCTCCCCTCCAAAATGCAGACAACGCCCCCCAGACAACAGCTCCCCCTACACCCACTGCCACCTTCAGACCCTGCTTGAAAAACAGACTGGTCGGGGCAGGCATTTGGGTATTTGTCGTGTTATGACTTGTTAAACCCAACACATGACATATATCCTTATGTCTCATACATGTGGCATATCTTCTCACGTCGGTTCGGTTTAATTTAATTCTTTCAAGCTGTACTTGTGCAGAATGAGAGTAGCCAGCGTCTCCTAAGTGCCTCCCACGTGCGGAGCCTTTTATACCCGTCAGCTCCTTGAATCTACGACAGCTCTGCCCAGTAGAGAGACGGGCGTATTTTGGGAATAGAAAATAGTTCTCCTTTAAAAAATTGTGTCAGTAATACATGGACATGGTAGAAAGTTCAGACCCTGCAGAAGGGCATCAGATGGAAAGGAAAGACCTCTCTGCCACCCCAGCCCGCTCCCAGAAAGCAGCCTGTCTCCCAGCACTGCCCCCAGGGTGTTCTGAGCGTGATGAACACATCAGCCTATAAATGTAGATGTAGCTGTATGTACACTTCCCTCTTGCCCAACAAGGGGGACAGATGTATGTGTGGTCTGCATCGTGCCTCTTTCCCCAGTGAAATGGAACTTGGAGATCTTGACCTACCAGCTCCTACAGATCCACAAGTTAGATGGTGTTATCCCCCTCTTGCACATGAGAAAATGGAGGCTCAGGTCCCCCGGCTACTCAGGGGTCGAGATGGAATTGGGGTCCAGCCAAGTCACGTAGTCGAGTGCTAGTGCTGTGGGGTGCGGGCTGAGTCCTGGCTCTGTGCTTATTAGCAGGGCAGCCTCAAGCCACCGGCTTAGGCTCTCTGGGGCTCAGTTTCTTCCACAGTACAATGGGCCTGGTAGCGGTGCCTACCCAGAGGGGCTGTTGGGAACATTTGACTATGCCAGCGCACGTCAAGTACTCAGCCCCTGGCGGATGGCAGTGAGCAGCCCGTGTGGGGTGGGGGGACAGCAGTCAGGCAGACGAGGCTGGCGGAGCGGGCCCTGACGGCGCTGCGCGTCCCCGTCAGATCGGCCAGGCCATCGAGGAGGTCAACGGCAACAACCAGGAGCTGCTGCGCAAGTACCGCCGGGAGCTGCAGCTGCGCAAGAAGTGCCACAACGAGCTCGTGCGGCTGAAAGGTGACTGCCGGGGGCTCAGGGTGCCCCGCATGGGCCGCCGACCTGGCTGGAGGAGATCCTGTCCTTCCCCATGGCCCCCAGCACCATGCCTCGGAGCTGGGCCCTGTTGTTGTAACTCCCTCTTTGTAGATTAGGAGACGAGGCGCAGAGGTCAGGGAAGCTGCTTAAAGCTGCAGGCCAGGCAACGTCCACCTCGGAGCCGGACTTGGATCTGTCCAGTGCTGAAGTCCCTGTCTCAGTGCCCATGGCAGGCTACCCCCAGGCCCTGGGTGGCCACGGGGTCGGGTGTTGAAGCACTGGGTGGGTGGCTGGAATGCCACTTGTTCTGACCTAGGGCCTAGTCAAGCTTGAGACTTCACCCGTCCACTGCACAGAGGTCTAGGGAGTGCCTGTTCTGTGCCAAGTGCTGTTCCAGACGCTGAGATATGACTGTGGGTCCCAGACATGCCATGCCTGCCCTCACGGTGCTCACTGCAGCTGGGAGGGCAGACAGTGATCACTAGTCACAGAGAGCCCAACACCACCCCTGTTACCAGGGCTGGGGAGGAGCTCCGCGAGTCCCTCCGTGTCTGATAGTAGGAGGTGTTGGGGGCTTCCCAGAGGAGGTGAAGCTAGAGCTGAGACCTGAACTGGAGTTGGAGTGGACAGGTGAAGGGGAAGGTGGGGCCATGCTGGCTGTGGTGGGGAGTTTTCTCCTCATTCCAGGAGCACTGGGATCCCACTGAAGGGCTTGAAGCAAAGGGGTGGTGCGATCAGATCCAGGCCTCCAAACGCCCCTGGGGCTGCCCTGTCGCCTGTGCCCACTCAGCGCACTGCCAGTCGTCCACCTGCTCTCTGGTCCTGTTTGTCCTGATTCCCAAGCCCTGTCCTGGCATTCACAGCGCCCTTTCAGAATGACAGAACCAGTCCCTTGGCTAACTGGGACCCAAGCCCTCGTTGTGTAGATGAGGAAACAAGTCCAGAGATGTAGAGAGAGTGTCCATTTTGGTATCCCACCCAGACTGGGTGCAGTGTCTGAGCCCCACATCGACCTTTCCTCCCTGTCCGCAAGGTGAAGCTCCTACCCTCAGCTGGTTTGCCTAGGAAGGAAATGTACCAGTAAGTGAATTCATGCTGTAGTGTGAGTGACCGATGGCAGCTTTGTGGGCCACCTTGCCCTGGGGACCTTGCTGAGAAGGCAGCTGGCTGGCTCCTGAGCCACTAGCCTGCTGAGGACACTGGTGGACACCAGTGTGGAGGCAGTCTGGTTTTGACCGGGTCTGGACCCTTCTGTCCTCCCCCACCCGATCCAGGGAACATCCGGGTGATTGCTCGTGTCCGGCCAGTCACCAAAGAGGACGGGGAAGGACCTGAGGCGACCAATGCGGTGACCTTCGATCCCGACGATGACTCCATCATCCACCTGCTGCACAGAGGAAAGCCTGTGTCCTTTGAGCTGGACAAGGTCTTCTCCCCGCGGGCCTCACAGCAGGATGTGAGTGTGGTGGCCCTGTGGGGGAAGGGACAGAGAGCAGTGGAGAGAGGGGAGGCAGAGAGACTCAGGGGGAGAGGGAGAGATGGTGTGGGGGTGGACAGAGAGAAGTGTAAGAGTGGGGAGACAGGATGGAGAAGCCTGGGGCACCATGGTCCCTCTCTCCTTCCCCTCTGGAGGAGAGAAGAGGGTGGGAAGCTATGACTGAGGGCCTTAGAGGCCTCTGCTGGGAAGGAGAGATCCATGTGCAGCCCTTCCCACCCATGTGGCCCCTCACAGCCCCATCCACTTTCACAGCCCTGCCCACCCTCACAGCTCCATGCACTCGCACAGCCCCACGGACACATGTGACCCCTACCACACATGTGGCCCCTCCCACCCACGTGACCCCTCCCCCGCACATGTGGCCCCACTCACCCACATGGCCTCTCCCAACCACATGCCCTGCCAGTGGCTGGCATTGAGACAGGCCCCTCTAGCTGTGAGCACCCTGTTGTATCGGTTCTGTGGATCTTTGTAGCACCTCCCCGTCCCCAGTGCAGAGCCCTTAGCCTGTGAGAGCCACGTGGTCTCAGCATCCCCTCTTCTCTCATCTCTGCCAGGGCCAGCCTGCCAAGCCTTTCTTGCCTGTGCCTTCTTGTCCCCATACTTGGCTTCACCTTTGCCCCTGTTCTCTGTCCGCTGGCAGGCAGACAGGCCAGAGGAGATGCCAGGCATGTGCCAGCCTCTGCCTTCATTTTGCTGCACCCTCCTTGAGCGCAGGAGAATGTGGGGTTGGGGGTGCTCCTGAGCTCCAGTGCTGGGGGACCCCTTCTTCAGGTGTTTGCCAGCAGTAAGCACTGCCCTGTCTTCCCTTCAGCCTCTGGGCAGCCAGGTTGCCCGCTGATGTCTAGTGTAAGTGACTTATTAGTTGTGAATTCTGCACAGTGAGCTGGTTGCCCACACTAACATGTGCTGTATTATTGCTGAAAGAGAGAGCGGTCAGGGGGAGGGGGCTGGACCTGGAGCTGGCGGGGGGCCCCTGGCCCCAGCAGCCCTGGCAGCCCCTCACCTCCCAACTGCGTCCCCTCCCCAGGTGTTCCAGGAGGTGCAGGCCCTGATCACCTCCTGCATCGACGGCTTCAATGTCTGCATCTTCGCCTATGGTCAGACGGGCGCCGGCAAGACGTACACAATGGAGGTGGGTGCCCGCTGGACGGGGCAGGGGTTCAGAGAGTGAAGACCACCCCCTTGCTGCCATAGAGAGGCTCCCTCATTGGTCTCCGGGTTTGTGTGGTGCATGTTTTGCCTCACTTGGTTTTCACAACCACCCCGGGAGCAGAGCCTGTAGTTACTCGCATTAGCCCCGCAGCACTGAAGAGGGGGGCACCTGGCTCAGTGCACCTGCCATGGTCCCCTGGGTGTGGGGGAGGGGCAGGCCGACAGCAAACTCCAGCATCAGAGGGATCTCGGCCTGGGGCCAGAGTCCAGGGCACACCGCATGAGTGTCTCAGGATGGGATTTCATTTTACCCACGTGCATTTATTGGGCTCCTGCCGTGTGGCTGCCCCATGCTGGGCCCTGGGGCATCAGGATGAATGAGGGCAGGTCTCTGCCCTTGAGGAGAGCCCCAGGCAGTGGGAGAGACTGGCCAGTGGAGGCTGTCATGGGCCCCCTGGCTCTTACCTGCCGCCCCCAGGGCCAGAGCAGGGCGTCATCTTGTGGCGGTCTCCCTTTCCATGGGGTGTGGCCAGGGATGGGGACATTGAGAGGAGGAAGAATCTTGACTGCAGATAAAAATGGAAAGCTGTCCCCAGGAGGTGTCTTTGGTTTGTCAGCATTTCCATGGCTCTTGAGGGGGTGCTGTGGGGTTCCCCAGGTAGGGGAGGGGCAAGGGGCGTGAGAGGGCGGGACAGGCCCTGCTGGCCCGGGCCGTTAGGCACGCTTTGGGGAGGCTGCCGGGGTGGCAGTACTGGATCCCGGCAAGGAGGCTGAGCAGCAGAAGTGGAAGGAGGGTGGGAGGTGCCATCAAGGGGGAATGAGGGCCCCAGGGAGGACCCCAGGTTTCCTTTCAGAAAGGCCGGCCAGCCCATCGAGGCCTAGGGCACTTGTGGCTCTGCCTGTGCCTCCGCTCCAGCACCCACAGAGCCCGGCCCATGGCCTCCCTGACATTGAGCCCCCCGTGGGCAGTGGCGGGGACATCATACGTTCCCCGGGTGCCCTCCCAGGTGGCCCACCCGGGCTAGGTGTGCCTCTGGCACCCAGCAGCCCCTGTGTGCAGGCCCCTGCCACGCCTTTCACCTGGTGCTCTGCTTCAAGTCTCAGGGCAGTCCTGGCAGGGTGCTGCCATTTTAAAGGTGGGAAACTGAGGCCCAAGTTGGTGAAGTTGCTTGCGGCTGATGGAGGGCGTTTTGGGGGCAGACCGGCAGGCAGGTGGGAGCTTCGGTCAGGGAGGCTGGCCTGCGAGGGGGATGGGGGCCACAGACACCCTGTGAGCATCTGTATGGTCCACTCCTCGTGGTGGGGAGAGGCCCACTCACTGGGGCCTTGCTTCTGCCCCTAGGGGACCCCTGAGAACCCAGGCATCAACCAGCGGGCCCTGCAGCTGCTCTTTTCTGAGGTGCAGGAGAAGGCGTCTGACTGGGAGTACACCATCACCGTCAGCGCGGCCGAGATCTACAATGAGGCCCTCAGGTGAGAGGCCCCCGGGTGGGAGGCCCTCGGGTGGAGGCCCCCAGGTGGGCAGTTTTGTGGTCCTCAGGGCTGGGTGGAGCCATGTGGGATGGGAAGTGGGGTCTCCCTGAAGAAGGGAGTTGGAGGCTGTATGTCCTGACTCGGCCCAGGGGGTCCGCTGGCCCCAGGCCCCTCCCCCATACCAGCGGGCAGCGGGGAGGAGGGCTCTTTCCCCTGGAAGTGTCCTCACCCTCCCTGCAGGCCACAGCAGGTGGTGATAAGTGAGAGTGGGGGGCTTAGGGGCCCCTGCCCACCGGGGCTCAGTGCATCGTGGAGGCAGGAGTGGCACCACCACAGGACTTTGGGGAACATTCGATCTCTGCCCTTCAGGGGATTGAGTGCAGGGAAGAGCTGAAGGAGGGGGACTTAGCCTGATGCTCAAGGAAGGCTTCCTGCAGGTGTGGTGGGTTGGGGGAACATTCCAGGCTGGGGGCAGGCGCAGCGCATGCAGACGCAGATGGAGGAGGAGGGAGTGACCCCGTGTGCCCACCCCTCCAGGGACCTGCTGGGGCAGGAGCCCCAGGAGAAGCTGGAGATCCGGCTGTGCCCGGACGGCAGCGGGCAGCTGTACGTGCCGGGGCTGACGGAGTTCCGGGTGCAGAGCGTGGACGACATCAACAAGGTGTGGGGCGGGGTCCGGGTGGGGAGATGCTGGGAGACCCCGCCCCCCCGCAGAGGAGGACACATCAGGTTGAGGTGCAGGCTCTGCCACGTCCCTACGCCTCTCTGAGCCTCAGTTTCCTCCCCTGTACAGTGCAGAGGCTGACACCCCTCACAGGGGTACTCAGGGACGGGGTGATTCTGAAGACCCCTCTCCAAACCCTGTGCCTCTGCCCTCCCCGCCCCCAGGTGTTTGAGTTCGGCCACACCAACCGCACAACGGAGTTCACCAACCTGAATGAGCACAGCTCCCGCTCGCACGCCCTGCTCATCGTGACGGTGCGCGGTGTGGACTGCAGCACGGGCCTCCGCACCACGGGTGAGTGAGGGCACTGGGCAGCCAGCCTGGGCGCCCCCCGTTGCACCGGCCCCCCAGGGCGGCCTTGACCTGCCCTGCACCCTCCCCGCAGGGAAGCTCAACCTGGTGGACCTGGCTGGCTCGGAGCGCGTGGGCAAGTCGGGGGCCGAGGGCAGCCGCCTGCGGGAGGCGCAGCACATCAACAAGTCCCTGTCAGCCCTGGGGGACGTCATTGCTGCCCTGCGCTCCCGCCAGGGTCACGTGCCCTTCCGCAACTCCAAACTCACCTACCTGCTGCAGGACTCGCTCAGCGGGGACAGCAAGACCCTCATGGTGGTGCAGGTGAGGGCCTCAGGGCGGGCGGCCAGCTCCAAGACCAGGGACCCCTCCCAGGTACCCTGGGCTACGCAGGGAAGGGAGCCTTGCTCTCAGCAGCTCCAAAGTCAGTGACATGCACCCCTAGCCTCCCCAGCAGACCTGGTGACATGCACCCTGTGTGCCTCACAAGTTCTTCCTTGCTGCCTCTGTGCCATTTCTGCCACCTCGGGTGCCCTCCAGCTCCCCTCCCTCAGTCTTCTCCGGGAAGCCTTCCAGAGTCCGCTGGCTGTGAGCTCCTCTGGTGAGCACGCTGCCCCCTCCAGTCCTTGGGGGCATGGCTGGTCGGGGTGGGGAGTGAGCCCTCCTGTCTCCCAGGTGTCCCCCGTGGAGAAGAACACCAGCGAGACGCTCTACTCCCTCAAGTTTGCTGAGAGGGTCCGCTCTGTGGAGCTGGGCCCCGGGTCCCGCAGGGCAGAGCTCGGGTCCTGGTCCAGCCAGGAGCATCTGGAGGTACGGGGACCACCACAGGCCTGTCTCGGGCTGGCACTGGGTCAGAGACTTCTGCTCATGGGCAGAGGGGAGATCTGGGAGGGGTACATCTGGAGTGGTGGGGAGAGGAAGATGCCAGAGCGGGTGGAGCCAGAACTTGAACCCAAACCCAGCAGCCTCTTCAGGCCAGGTATTTCTTCTTGGCCTCGGAGGTACCTGTGGGGTCGTCTTCTGGTTGGGGTAGCAGGCTGGCACACAGGTGCTCAGTAGTAACTAGTTTACTTCTTTACATGTATTATCTCATTTAATTCTTGTACTACCTGAAGCGAGGGTATCATCATCATACCCATTTTGCAGATGAGAAAACAGTTTCAGGGGGCTGGGGAGGGGAGGGGAGGGAAGCACGGTGCGGGTGGGGAGCCAGGGCAGCATGGCCCCAGCCCACCTGCCCACCCCTGACCACAGTGGGAGCCAGCTTGTCAGACGCCGCAGCCCGCAGCACGAGCCCATTCGGCACCCGGCTCTGGGACCACTAGCCGCCCAGGCTCCATCCGGAGGAAGCTGCAGCCCTCAGGTGAGCCTTCAGGGAGTGGGCCAGGGTGGGTGGGTGGGCGAGCTTCCACACAGGTTGGTCACAGCCACTGGGCTGCCCTTACTTGGATGGGCTTTTTGTTTTCTTTCTTTTTTTTTAATTTTACAAAACTTGACCAAAACTTGTTTCACGACTTTCCCTGGTCCTGGGAAGTAGTCGGGGTGGACAATGCTGGGACCATTTTACAGATGGGAAATAGAAGGCCCCTTGGAGGAGGGGGTAATGTAAGGAGGAGCCCAGCCCTCTGGCTCCTAGCTGGGCTGCTGACTTAGGCCCAGGACACAATTCTCCCAGGCTGGGCTGGCCAGGCTCACGCAATATCCACCCTCCAAGGCAGACCTGGCACCCCCCCCGGGGGACCAGGGTCAGGGGAAGGGCAGGGCTCACCCCATGTCCCAGGCCAGGACTGAGTCTGGCCACATGGCTGGAATCTGGCCCCCCGCTTGGCCCCACTCATGGAAGGGCCTGACAAGTGCTTGAGCAGGGGGGCTAGGGGCAGCAGGGTCCTGGGGGGGGTCCTGGCCTGAGGCAAGCCCACCAGTGAGACGCCTGTCGCTTTGATTTCAGCCTGACGGCTGGGGCTGCAGAGTCTCCAGGTGAGTGTGGGGCCGGCGGCCCAGGGCTGCCTGCCGCCCGCCCGCCCGGCCACCTTGGGATGCAGCGCTGTGCTGGGAGCTCGGCTGCTCAGGGCTGGGGTGTCCTTCCACTGCCTGCTGTCTGTGTGCTTCTGCCTCGCTCTCTCTTCTCCTGCTCTCCTGACGAGACTCATGGACCCCCTTCCCCTCCCGCAGGGAAGTCAAGGCCGGTGCCGGTGTGATGGACGTGTCCACCCTGCTGGACGAGGAACTGGGTCCTGAGGCCTCGCTGGCCTGTTTCTGCTGCAACTCTGGGAGCTGGGGAGGTGGAGGCCTGAGTGGAGGCTCCTCTTCTGCTCCGTCTCCCCTCAGAGATGAGAAACATGTTCAGAAGGAAATGGTGTCTCGGCTGTGGCTCTGGGTGCAGGTGGCATGGGCCATATGGGCAGGGATGGCCGCTCCACCTGGAGGCCCGGGCCGTCCGAGTGGGCCCTAGTGGGGAGGGCAGGAGCCTGTGCGAGGGGCCCTCTTGTGTGGGCTGACCCAGCTCGCCCCAGCCTGCAGGGCCCGCTCCGTGGTGGGTGGGCTGAGGAGCCCCCAGAAGGCACAGGAGCTGGGGACTGGGGGCTGGTGGGCAGCCCTTGCCCCTTCCTCCAGGGGCCCGCACTGGGCGCGTATATAACCTCCTAGGTGTACATAGGGGCTCGGCCTCCCTGCCGCGGGGCCGGGTGGTATTTATGGCCGGCAGGAGGCCAGTGGGCGGGATTCTGCTGCCCCACTCCGCCACCCCCTCGCCTGGCACCAGGCTCTCCTTGCTCACTGACCTCCTGACAGTTTCCTCCCTCTGAAATCTTATTTAAGAACTTTTGGAAGCTTAGCCATTTTTACTTATTAAAAATAAAAGCCTTTTTACACAAGTGTGGTCTGAAAGAGGTGGTCTTGTGAGCCCCTAGTCGGGTGGCAGGGAGCAGGGCATCGGCACCTGCTGCTGGCCGGTCACCCACAGCCCTCCCGCCCTGCCCTCCAAGTCAGGATCACGTGTCCTGAACGTCCACGATGGGAGGGGCCCATGCCCCTCGCCCCACCCTGGTCAGCCTGTGACTGACGCCCGTACATCAGTGCCGTCACCTCCATCTTACAGATGGAATCTAAGGCTCCTTAAAGGCTTGCCAGACCGCGGCTGCAGGGCCACCCTCTGCCCTGGCCTTGCCCCCTTGAGTGTATGGCCGCGGGTGAGCGCCGCCCTCCTCCCAGTGCCTGCAGGACCGCCTCCCACCCCGCCTGCACCTGGTCCCTGCCTCCGTGGGGCCCTCCCTCTGACTGAGGCTGAATGATAGCTGCTGCCTCGGGAGCAGGGGGGGCCACCTCCCAGGGATGACCACTGGGTCAGGGGAGCTTGTTCTGGGCAGCTGGCACTGGGGCTCCTGATGGGAGTGAAAGTGAAGCAGAGCCCTTGTCAGAGGATGGGGCAGCTGCCCTTCCAGTCCTGTCCCTGGAGGCCTCCTGGGGGACGGGGAGGGTGCTGGGCTCTGGGCCAGCCCAGTGGTGGCCGTGCCTGCAAGGCTGCGGTCCCAGCCCCCTGTAGTGTACAGCCGTCGGCCAGCCCTGGAGGCGTCCAAAGGACAGAGGGAGTATGGCTGAGACGAGGATAGGCTGGTGGGGCCCACCCCCTACCTGTTTCTCCTAGCCTCCCCCCACCTCCCCCAGAATAAGTCTAAATTGGCTCTGTCCCACTGGGCTGTCACCCTGCTGCCCCCTGCTGGCCACACTGCCTGGTGCACCATTGCTGGGGCTTGGAGGGGGTGTGGTCCCGTCTCTGAAGAGGCCAGACAGGCCATCCTGGGCCTAGGAGAGCCGCGGGCCAGAACCTGCCCCTCCCGGCAAAGAAACCAGGGAACAGTTACAAATTTAATAAAATTCGCCTTATAAATTACAGCAGCAGCCCCAGGGCTCCGTTCGCTGCCCCAAGAAGCAAGAGTTGGGCAAAGCTGGGCAGCCGTTGCTAGAGAGAAGTTATCTGCGAGTTTGGGGCTGTGGGGGAGGCCAGTGGGCCAGTGCCACCGCCTCCAGGATGGCCACAGGGCAGCAGTGGGGGCCGGGCAGGGGCTCATGGGCCGGTGCGCGCACAGGGAACAGGAGTGGGGGCTGAGGCCAGGCCCTGAGGGCTGCCGCTCGCCCCCACCCACGGGGCTCCTCAGTCCAAACTGGCCATGAGCAGGTGCAGCTCGCGGAAGGCACTGCCGTGGCGGCCGCTCAGGCCTGACTTGCTCTTGACGAAGCCGCTGATGCCCTTGAGCTGCTTGTAGCACAGCCGGCACTTGTGCAGCCTGTGGGCAGAGGGGCAGCGCTGCAGGCGGCTGGCAGACACGACCCCGTGACCCCACCCAACCCTGGGGTGTCCCGTCCTAACCACTCCTGCCCCTCCCCACAGAGGACGGCTGTGGCCCAGAGCACAGGACCCATCCGGGCAGTGCCAGGGCTCAGGGCAGAGCCAGGCCACGGAGGACCCCTCGCCCCGGGCCACTGCCCCAGCACAGCGACCTCTTCCACAAGCTGGTACAGCAGGGCCACCCACACACGGGCCAGGCCCCCTCGGCCTGTGTGCCCTTGCCTGGTATGGCACCTCTGCCCCAACACCCACACACACCCCGCCTGGCCCCTCACCTCTCCTCGCGGCTGATGTCCACACCCACGGAGGGCGGGGCCGCCAGGATGTCAGTGATCAGGGGCAGAAACCGCTGCAGGATCAGCTTCAGGGAGGTGCAGCCCGTCTGGACATAGCTGGAGAGGCAGACGGGTGATTGGAGCCACAGACAGAAGCAGCAACAGAGAGCAAGGTACACAGACAGACAGACAGAGGATCAGAGGCAGCATGGGCTTGTTATCGCTCTGGCCTCTCCGGCACTTGGAGGGGACAGCGATGCTGCACGCCACCTCACATGGGCACTGGGGTCTTTCCCGTGGTCCCTGCGGGAGCTCAGGCCCCCTCCCGCTCCCCGCACATACCTCTCGTACTTGCTCTGCAGAAGCTTCTCGATCTGCGGCAGGACCGTGGTGCACAGGTCCAGCTTCCACAGGGAGCTGGGGAGAGGGCCAGGGACACGTGCCCTCAGCACCCGCCTGCCCAGTCCAGCCGCTCCACCCTCCGCGGCCACTTACGCTTTCTGGTTGACGATGTTGAGGAGGTCCACCACGACAGACAGGTCATTGATGGCCACGGCCGAGTCCACCGAGCTCTGCAAACACAGCACCCGTCAGAGGGGACTGGGGACAGCGCTGCCCTGCCGGGGTGTGGTGTGATGACAGGGTGTGTCGTGGGGTGTCAGTAAGACTACACCGAAAGTGACGAGCGCAAGGCCAGGCCCATAAATAGGTGCTCAATAAACAGCAGGCTATGACGATGAGGAAACAGAGGAAGTCAGCCATGGCTGGTGACAGGGGCCGCACACCCCCGCCCTCCCTCGTGTGGCCCTCTGCTTGGTCCAGCCCTGAGCCCTGGCAGGGGCGGCGCCTGCCTTGATGTCGCCCGTGGTCCACACGGCCCTCACGGTGTCCAGGTTCTTGTGGCGGCTGGTGAGCACCACGCACATGGTGTCGTGGCCTTTGCGGATCTGCGACATGGCGTCCTCATCGACCAGCTCTGCCTGCTGGGGGATCTTCACGGCCTGGAGGGATGGGCACCAATGCTGGCAGCAAAGCTCTGCCCTCGCCCCACAGGCCTCCACCCTGCCCTCGGGCTGGGCCCCCACTCACGGGCAGGAAGTCGGAGGCCTTCAGCCCGATGGGCTCATTCCGGGTGGCAGGGATGATGGCGGGCTCGGCCTTAGGTGCAGGGGTGGAAGTGACGACCGGGGGCTGGGGCAGGACCTCGAGCTGGAGGGATCCGGAGCTCAGCAGGCGGCCGGCCTGAGGCCTCCCTTCTGCCCCCCGCCCCCGGTTCAGGACTCCAGCCCCTCCTGACCCCACACCACGCCCTCTCCAGCCCAACGTACATTTGGCACCGGGAACTGTGCGTCTGTGGCTGGGCTGGACTTTGCTGCCTCCTTTGCTGTGGCCATGTCTGGAGGCAGAAGGAAAAGATCACTGGTCAGCCAGGAGAAGCGACTGGCAGGAAGAAGGCCGGGCTAGGGTGGGGCTGTGGGCATCTGTAACTGGGGGGATGGAGCAGGAGCCACAGTGCAGGTCCTGGGGAGCCCTGAGGGCAGGGCTGGGCCTGTCTCCTCCCTCTCCCCCCACGGGGTCTGGCAGAAAGCAGACGTCTGTCACTGTGTGTGGATGGGACCCAGGGGGCTCCAGGGTGTGGCGATCCCGTCACCTCACTAGCAATGGAGTGTGTGTGTTGGAATCGGGGTGGGGGGCTCGTGGTGAGTGGGAAGTGCAGGAGGGTGAGGCCCCTCAGGAACCCAGCCTCACGGGGGGGACGAGAAGATGGCCCCTTGAGGAGAAAGCCGGGTGGAGGGGAGGGTGCCCCACCCCTGCCTCTTCCCCAGTCGTAAAGCAGACCATGTTCTCTCCCTTTGTGAATCTTCCTCCAGCAAAACCCAAACTCCCCATAGGACCTGCAGGGCCTGGCCTCCTCTCCTGGCCCCCGAGCCCCCACCCTGCTCTCGCTCCCTTGCACCCCAGCCGCTGCCCTCTTCTCCCCTCAGCTGGCCCTCAGGCCGCCCCCTCAGAGCCTCCTGCTTCCAGCACAGTGCGCCCTGGCACTCTCACCACGCCCGGCTCCTTCCTCCACGGCATGTGTCCCATTTCTAGACCCACCTGTGTGGAGGCCTGTCTACCGTCTGCCCTCCTCACCACGGTGTGGGCTCCTAGGGGGCACCTGCCTGCCTCATTCACACCCAGTCACCAGGGCCTAGCCCGGGCTGGGCACACAGGAGGTGCTTTTGGGTGAGTGGAGGGAAAAGACCCAGTGGGAGAGAGGCTGGAGGGGAGGGACAGGGGCTCAGAGGAGAGAGACGGGGAGAGAGGACTGGGGTCCCTAGGAGGCCAGGCTCTGCCCCCTGACTCACCGTCCTCCGGGGGTGCTGGGAAGGGCTCACTTCTCCGGGGTGGTGTCCGACCTGCAGAGGTGAAGGGGGCTGAGGATGCACGCTGACCAGCCAGGGCTCCTGTCTGAGGCCTCAGGGCCGATGGCCTGGGACCCAGGGCCCTGTCAGGATGCGGGGGATGGAAGGTGGCTTCCAGGCACAAAGCTGCCGACCCATGACCCTGTTCCTGGCCCCACAAACCCTCACGTGCCCTGTGGGCCTTCCTTTGCTCGGGGTGGGCAGGGGCACCAAGCAGCTGCAGGGCCTCTGCTGGGGCCAGAGGACCTGGGAACAGAGCCTGGGCCCCGTGTGGGGTGGGCGTTAAGCTAAGGGAGCGGAGCAACGAGGGCGCCATCCCTGAAGGACGGTCTGCCTCCACCTCAAAATGGGGACACTGGGGCTTGGGGGGACGCAGGGGCGCAGGCCTCACTGATGCTGTTCTTGGGCTGGAAGATCTCGTTGTAGTCCTCGGCATTCTG